TTCCAATCACAGTGTAACAACTACTACAAACAAAACTAATAACTTTATTTTTAACTAGCTGACCCCGTGAACTTCGTTTCACCTACAATTTAATTTTGAATCTGCAAAACCGAATGCTTTGAAATCTTAGATATGTTTTAAACATATGATAGGCATAATAAATTTTTATTCAAAATATATTTACTTATCCCCTCCAAAAATTTGATGACGTCAGCCCAAAATTTTGCCAAATGAATCCTATCTAAAATGTCCAAAATAGGATGAGACTATACTTGTGATTTATCATTCCATGCATATTTTTTAGTTTTGCTTATAGGGGGTGTCTCAAAAAAAATAATCACTGAGTCAATTTATTTTATTGATTGAATCAAGAATTGCAAAACTGAATTTTGAAATATTGCAGACGATATTGAAGTTACTGTTTGACATGGTAGGTTGTTAATGAAAATATATCTGTATATCAAGCGCAAAAACTTGATGACGTCATCTCAAGATTTTCCCGAATAAATCTAAAATGTGCAAAATATCATCAGTATATTTTCGTAATTTATCGTTGCATTCATATTTTTTGGATTTGCTTTTACAGTGACTCAAAAAAATATTTGAATCAGTCAATTTATTTTAGTGAATAACTCAAGAGTTGCCGAAATGAATACTTTGAGATCTTGCAGACGTTTTAAAGTTATTGTAAGCATGGTAAATTGTTAAGAATATATATTTATTCCCCCCAAAAAATTGATGGAATGGTTCACTCGATTTTCGCAGATAATTTTGGGAATACAATACAGTTATTTTTAGTATTACACTGCACCAATCCAAGGTGGTATACGTGTTGATCGTAAATGTTGTAAATGTATTTTCATCACAAAATTGTGTGAAGAAAATACTCAACTCGAAAATGCTGAATATGTTTCATTATACTTTTGGTGCGAAGGAAGTTCTGTCGAAACAACGTTCGATCAATTTTTTTTTTGATATAAATAAAATTCGGTAGATGCTCGAAATACGAAGTATCTACTCGAATATCAAATCAAAATATTTTTAGTTTTTCTAGATGATGCTAATACTTCAGTAGGTAACAGTTGATGCTCAAGTAGCATCTCGATACAACAAAAAAGGAAAACAGTGACAGTGTTCAACCATCAAGGCAAAAATCGAGCCACCAAAATATAAGTTAGTATGGTGTAGACACCTTGAGATGGGAATCTCTATGGCCAGTGTTAGAAAAAACGCACTGCACAATCTATGCATAAATAAAAGTTAACTACCTGAAAAGTTTTCGATATTCCCGCTCCTAATGTGTTTTTCAAACCGAATGCATCTTTTGACGACGTTCCACGTTCATGAAAGTCGCCATATTTAGTCAAAATTCACACTTACAACGATTCTACTCGTTTTCTAAGCTGCTTTACAGACAGCTCAGTAATTTGCCACGCCGATGCTCATTTTTAGATTAAATGCTCGCAAAACGCGTAGATGTTCAATTTGTGTCCAGGGACATACAGTGTTTCTAAGTAGGTACTCACTACATAGAGTAGATGCTCAGGTATATAAGAGTAATAATGAACTAGGTCCTTCGTACTTCGAATATGAGTATCTACTAAGTTTTATTCATACCACCCAATGTCTCGCTTCAATGTTTGATTATGTCGATTATGAGCACAACGCTGATCAACCATATCCGAATTATCCATGAAATAAATCATTGCGGTTTGCACCTGATGTAGTTCGTTGCACATTTGATAGACTTCGTGGACCTATGTCAGCTTGTCGTCTTCTCGGCATTGTAATGAACTTCATAAAACGACACAGAATTATTTTCGCAGTCAATCAAATCTGTAAATTTTGTCTTGAGAATTTTAAAATATTGAAAACTTCAAATTAAATCCTCGAATAACGGTAAAGTTTGAGGTTTTGTCGAAACCAACAAAGTGAATATAGGTAAATAGAATGGCAGATCAAAATTAATAAGAAACTTTCGCAATGTGTAACTAAATTCACTTTAACCAAGACTGTTCTTAAAATAAACGACGTTTTTTTTTTACGAAAAAACAAAGAACGATTTGAAATGCAATATACTTTTCACAATCGCACGGAAGAAATAGTTTTGTATGACACGTCAGTTAGACGACAGGTCCGTCAGGAACGCCAACTATTGAAATTAATTCGAAGTGGCGATTCCCATACAAAATTTTTTGATTTTTTTTTATTTTTAGCTGTTCGTTTAAGTTTTCCCTATTTTTTTATTTATAAACCATCCCCGTAATATAAAAAATACTTCAAATCGGTCAAGCCGTTTTTGAGTTTTAGCGAGACTAACAGGAACAGCAATTGATTTTTATTATATAGAAGGTTAAAAAATGGGGGTTGGTGGTAGAAAGGTGAAAATTTAGGGTTATATCTATTTTTTGATGCCAAATCTTAAAAAAAAAATTGTCCAAAAAATAAACAAAAATTTTTTAGGGTGGGCCACCCTTATCACTTAGGGGATAAAAAATAGTTTACAACCTATTCTCAGACCTACCGAATATACATACAAAATTTCATATAAATCGGTCAACCCGTTTCGGAGGAGTTCGATTGCAAAGGCTGTGACGCGAGAATTTTATACATAAAGCATCATTATTTTAGAACAAATTTCATTACCATAAAAAAGGTTATACTGAGTCGACTTTAAAAGATAGACATATGCTGTGGCGGTCTTTTCTTTAGAACTTTTAGAGGGGAACAATTTCATCATACACAGTGTTGGGCAGTATCTAGATACTTGTATCAAAAAAAAGTATCTAGATACATTTTTGGGTATCTAGTATCTGTATCTAGATACTAGATTAAGCACAAAATATATGTATCTACTCGTAGATACAAAATTAATGGCGCAGATACAGATACATTTTTTATTTCACTTTTTTTTCAGTAGTTATTAGTTGAGTTATACTAGTAGTAATTTTTGATACTTTATGTTGGTGATTTTGATCACATAAACAAAAATAGAGGTAAGAGGTCCACTAATAGTGTTCTGTCAGGGAAATTTTCATATTTTAAATACCATCATTTCCTACATTGTAGCCTTCAGTACTTGTACATCTTTAAATATAATCCTGAGGGGTAATAAATCTAAGCCATGGTAAGATGGTATTTTAAAAACTATAAACCACAATTCACTATTCACTGCGTTTTACGCTTATCGGGGCAATGCATTTTATCTGTGTATCTGGGCAACCCGGGTCCGGTAGGCCCGCTGGTTGTATTTGTGTTATTAAATAAGAGTAATTTTAATAGTAAAAATATTTGTTTAAAGTATGTTATTCTTTTTAGAAAATAATAATTGCGTGTTACATAATGATTAATTTTTTCAATTAGCACAAATTAGTTTTGTAATCGACTAATCGAATGTTCAATACATACATTTCTCTCGCATAAATCGCATATTTGTTACTGTTTTATACCTTTATTTTTCAGACAAATGTAGCATCTTTTTCTTTTGCCACATGTGTTATTTCTTGACTTTTTCATTGTTGGACCTAACGCGAGGCGGGCTTGGCAGGTCCGTTTTGCCCTAGAATGTGCCGATTATGTTTAAGTGTAAATCTTGGGCAATAAAATTGATATTTTTACAACCCTCGGTAGAATAATTTTTCGTAATATATTCTCAGAAATCGTGAAACGAGATTAAAATAAAATGAGTTTCAACAAAAATCTGAAAATTTAAAGTTGCACTCTGGTGATTCCGGCCTGCCAGGCAGCCTTTGATCCTATAAGGGGTTTAAATACCACCTTTCTAAGAAATTGTACTTATTTTGCCTTAAACGGAACCAGCAATTCTTCCTAAAATGTATATACCTAACGCACCGGGATAGACGATTACCGAACATGGCCATAAAAACATCGTAAGCCGGTATTGAAGAATAATAATTTATGACAGGTTGCCGACAACACACCTTCAGCACAGAATAATCATTTCCCGTATTCTTTTGAAACATTAATTTTAATGCTGGAGATAATTATTAGATATACTCAAACACAATTTGGACACTGTAGTATGGGAATAAAAACAAAAAAAAATTCTTTTTAAGCGTACGTAATAAATATTTGCAGCAAAAAAGAAAAGATTTTTCAGTCTTTAATAACTATGCTACAGTAAAATGTTTATTTTTTAAATTTAATACCACAATCCCCTCTTCTGCACCTTTGGAACGGGTGTTTAGTAGCGGAAACCAAATTCTGACACCAAGAAGGAATAATTTAGGTGACAATACGTTCGAAATGTTGTTAATTTTAAAAAATTCATTAAACAATACATAAAAAAATACATAAACATGTTTTCAGTTATTTTATTCGCCAAAGCTTCAAAAAGTATCTTGTATCTGTATCTAGATACATTTCGAAAAAATCGAAAACAATCTGTATCTATATAGATACTTTTATCTTCCATATATCTGTATCTGTATATAGATACTTTTAAAAGTATCTCTCCCCAACACTGATCATACATGATTTTTACGTAACTTTAACCGTTTAAGCAACGTAAGCACGGAAGCTGTCAAAGGACGAATAATTTTCTCGTTTTTCCGAAATTTTCATTGCTACTTCGCTCCTCTTGATCGTAGCGTGATGTTATATTGCCTATATGTGGATACAATAAATGGACTATCCAACACAAAAAGATTTTTTGAATTCGAACCAGTAATGTCTGAGATTAGCGCATTCACCCAAACAAACTCTTCAGCTTTATAATATACGTATAGATTCCATAAAAATATTGTATTATTTTTTAACTAATATTATAGTCGTATATAAATCGAAAAAAGCAACAATATTAGATTTGTACAGTCTGTATGACACAAAATTATCGTTGTAAAACGTTACATTGTATCACAATAAATGAGTTCTAATTAAGAAAAATGACAAAACGTTTCCTGACATTCGTTCATAAATTATTCAGCGTATCCGTTATTCATAAAAGGGACTTCCGTACGCACTTTAAGAACACCTCGCTTTCTAGTACGACGCAACCATGACACCCGACAACAGCCAAATCAAACTTGTTTTCAAAAATCAAACGATTTTTTTGACCGGGGCAACAGGATTTCTGGGCAAAGTCATGATCGCTAAACTATTGAGAGACTGTGAAGATATTAAAAAGATCTACATTCTGCTACGATCCAAAAAAGGGAAGAACAGTGAGCAACGCTTTGAAGAAATTTTTGAGCAACCTGTGAGTATTGACAGTTTTCTGAAAATTCTGTACATTCTGTTCAGTGTTTTGAGTTCTTAAAATCAAAAACTAGCAACTGGAAGGAAAAAGTTTCGGTGGTTGAAGGGGATTGTGAGCAACCTTTCTTAGGAATAAGCGACGATAATTTGAAAATTTTGAAGAATGAAGTTAATTTTATTATCCATCTTGCGGCAAATGTAAGGTTTGATCAGAGCCTGAAAAAAGCTGCTAACAATGTTAAATGTACTGCAGATCTTTTGGAATTGAGTAAGGACATAGTTAATTTAAAGGTAGCATGCTTTTACAGATATTTTTGAAAAATGTAACTTTTGAGTTTCAAGTGTTTCGTTCTTGTATCGACAGCTTATTCCAATTCCATACATTCTCACATTAAGGAAGAGATATACGATCCGCCCATACAGCCCGAACTTTTGTTGAGTATGGTAAATGGCCTAGACGAGAGTGTTTTGACAAATTTAACTCCCGCGTAAGTGTCTTTCAGTCGTTAATTTAAAGGTTGCTTAGGTTTCCTGTTTTCGTTTTGAAACAAGTTTTGCCTTCTATTTACAAATGCAACTTTTTTTTAGATTATTATCAAAGAAATGGGCGAACACTTACGTCTACAGCAAATGCATTTCTGAATATTTAATGAAAAATGCAACCAAACATTTTCCAGCTGCTATAGTTCGGCCATCAATTGGTAAATGACGTTCGTGTGTTAAAGTAGTAACCAAATCTTAATTGATATTATAGTGATGAATTCAGTAAGAGAACCAGAATCAGGGTGGATTGACAACATATATGGGCCCATTGGTTTAGTGATAGGAGTAGCTCTTGGTATCATTAGAACTTTGCATGGAGATGATAAGGTGTCGGCACATGTCGTACCAGTGGATTACGTTTGTAATTGTATTTTAGCAGCTGCGTGGAAAACCACAAAAGAAAGAAAATCTAATACTAAAGTTTTTAATTACATTGGATTTCAAAGGAAGCAGCTTAAATGGGGTATATGTATATTGGGTGCGTAAATAAAAATCTGGTCAAAAGTTTTAAGCTTTTGTGTTGTAGAGGAAATTCTAAAAAAATGGATTTATTCGGACAGACAAATATATTTTGATCAAAAAATTTACCATGCTCACGATAAATTTAAAACGTTGGCAAGATTTCAAAAAATTCGGTTTTGGGTAAAAATTCAACATAGAGGGAACACATGCGGGACTATGTTATTTTATACACATTGAAACTCACCTACTATGTTAACTAATTTTTAGGTGATGCCATCACATTGTTGGTAAGAGTGCTTAGATTGCATGATATTCATAATGTACGTATAAAATTTCACAACAATCGGTCCCGTAGTTTCGGAGTTATCCGTCTAACAATAATTGACACAGTGGCAGACAGACAGACAGACAGACTGATAGACAGACAGAAATGTGAGACCCATTTTGTCGTTCTCTTGGGGTCCCGACACTTCGAGAACATATGAAAGTCATCCAGTGAACTCGATTACAATACTTTCTTAGCTAAAACAATAAAATAGGACGCAGCCCTTTAGACCAAATTTTTAATTAGACACCGGCTACCTATATTTTGCACAAATTAGACATTTTATTTTAGGACAGTTTGGTTCCTACATGAATTCTTTGTACTGGAGAATGCCCCCCCAGGATTTAATTTGGTATAGTGATGGCAAACACCACGGAAAACTGTATAACCAGATTCACACGTTCCTGTTGCACACGATTCCAGCATACCTTATTGATGCCTTTCTGTATTGTATAGGAAAACCAACCATGTAATTTTTTTTAAGTAACCTACTTAATTCTCAATTTTATGTGTAATTTTAGTGCTGTCAAGGCCTACGCCAAAATCGATAAAGTTCTTAACCTTCTGTCGTATTTTTCTACCAAGAATTTTGATTTTGATGAACATAACGTGCAAGATTTGTGGACGGAAATGAACGAAGACGACAAAATGTTTTTTAATTTCTCAATGGAAAAGTTACAGTGGAAAAATTATTTTTACACCTGTGTTGTAGGATTCAGGCGCTACATCACAAAAGATCCAGCTATCGTCAGTACAAAAACATACGTAAAATTGTTCACTTTTATGATAGCTCATTATCTAGTTATCGCAATTTTCTATTATTTGTTATATAAATTTGTTATGTTTTTTTTTAATTTCTTCTGGTTAAATTAATAGATTTTGATATGTATAACAGCGACAACGTACAAGTTTATTTTCTTACTCTGAACTGGAATGCCTCTCTCAATGATTGGTACCCTCTGTCCTCATGTTTTTGCTGATAAAAATAGAGAGACAAAACCAAAGAATTTTTAAAATTCTCGATTTTTCTTTTTTTAATTGTTCAACAAAAGGACAAATTTATTCAAACTGAAGTTTTGAAAAACCGAAAAATTGTAACACTGAAACATCAAAAAACAAAACAATTAAAAATCGAGAAATTGAAAAAATCAACAAAAAGAAACAATTTTTCAGTTTTTCGGTATAAAATTTTTCAAATTCTCAATTTTTAGTTGTTTATTTGCTCGATTTTTCATTTTTTAATTCTTCAACACAAGGACAAATTTATTCAAACCGAAATTTTGAAAAATTTTAAAATATAAAAAATCATAAAATTGTAACATTGAAACGTCTAAAAATTACAAAATTGAAAAATCAAAAAATTTAAAAACTGAGAAGTCGAAGAATCGAAAAAATAAAAAAAAATTGAAAAAACCGAAAAAATGATAATCAAAAATTGAAAAATGAAACTTGAAATGAAAAAATTGAGAAATTGAATTGGAAAAATCGGAAAATTAAAACATTGAAACCTGAAAACCCTGATTAATTAAAAATCGAGAAAGTGAAAAATTAAAAAATCAAAATCCAAAAATTTTAAGGTGAAAACCGGAAAACTAAAAAGTTAAATAATTGTAAAAACGAAACACGGAAATATTAAAAAATTGTAACATCGAAAAAGCGGAACAGTTGAAAAATCGAAGAATTGAAAAATACAGAACCTGAAAAATCGGATAATGGAAAGTCAAGAATTGAATAATAAAATAATGAATAATAAAAACCCGAATAATTATTTGAAAAAAAGTGAAAAATTAAAAATCGGCGAATTTAAAAATTCTAAATTTGAAAAAAAAAAATTAAAAATGGAAAAATTGAAGAAATGAAAAATTGAAAATCGAAAATTGAAAAACCAAACTTGAAACATCAAAAAATTGAAAAAATTGGCAAACTGAAAATTGGATAACGAAAACTGCAATTAAAAAAGGGAACAATTGAGAAAAAGATAGAAATTGTAAAATCGAAAATTTGTAACATTGAAACCTAAAAAAGTGATAAATTAAAAATCGAGGAATTGAAAAATGGAGAAATCAAAAAATGTGAAAACGAAACACGGAAAAATCGAAAAATCGAAAAAATGTAAAATTCAAATATGTAGAATTTAAAAACCGAACAACGAAAAATCGAGAAATCGAAACTCCTAAATTTAAAAAATCGGATAACTGAAAAATCGAAACATCGAAAAACCGAGAAATCGAAAAATCAAAAGATCAGTCGAAAAGTCGAACAACTTAGAAACCGAAATAGGCCAAAATCGAAAAATCGAAAAGTTAAACATTGAACAATTTATAAATTGACAAATTGACAATCAAAATGTCGAAACATCCAAATCTCGATAAATCAAGAAATCAAAAAACTTCAAAATTCGAAAAATTGAAAAATTGAGAGATTGAAAGACCAAAAGAACGAGAAATTGAAAAGTGATGAAGTCGAAAAATCGAAAAATAGAAAAATCGACAAACAAAAAGTTAAAAGTTGAAAAACTGGAAAAGCGGAAAAATCAGAAAACGAAAAATTGAAAAACTTATAAATCGAAAACCTGAACAATCACATCTCGATAAATCGAAAGATTAAGAAATACTGAAAAATTAAAATATCAAAAGATTGAAAAATCTAAAATTTAAAAATCCAAAAATTGAAAAATCGAAAAAGTAAAAAGGTGGACACATCGAAAAATCCAGAAGTCAAAAATAGAAAAGCCGAAGAATTGAAATATTGCAAAATCCTAAAACTGAAATATATAAAAACTGAAAAATCGAAAAATCAAAAAAGTGAAGTCGAAAAATAGAAACCTTAAAAAAATCGAAAAATTGAAAAATCAAAAACCTGAAAAATCAAAAATTTTAAAAATTGAATAACAGGATAATCGAAACACTCGGAGGTCAAGAAATGGGAAAATCAAAATATGTATCGATTAATTGAAAAATCGAAAAATTGAGAGTTTATAAAAGTCAAATTTGAAAAAGTAAAAAAAATTGAAAATTTGACAAAATGACAATTGAAAAACAGAAAATCTAAAACCGTGAAGTCGAAAAATCAAAAAATTAAAAAATTGAAACATTTGAAAAATTCGAAAACTTGTAAAGAAAGGAAATATCGAAGAACTGAAATGAAAAATCGAGAAATCGAAAAATCTAAAATTTAAAAAAACATCTAAAATTTAAAAAACGAAAAATTGAAAAATCGAATAAGTAAAAAAATTGACACATAGAATAATCCAGGAGTCAAAAATCGAAAAGTCGAAGAATCGAAATATTGAAAAATCCTAAAACTGAAATATCGAAAAACTGAAAAATGAAAGAAAAACTAAAAATGGGAAACTAAATCGGGAAGTCAAAATATTCAAAAATCGAAAAATTTAAAACGACAATTGAAAACAGAAAAATCTACAACCGGGAAGTCGAAAAATCGAAAGATTAAGCAAACGAAAAAGTAAAAAAATCGGCACATCGAAAACTCCAGAAGCCAAAAATCGAAAAGTCGCAGAATCGAAATATTGAAAAATCCCAAAATTGAAATATCGAAAAACTGAAAAATGAAAGAAAAACTGAAAAATGAAAAACCAGGAAAATCCGAAAACTGAAATATCCAAAAAACGGAGAACCTAAAAAGTTGAAAAATTGAGCAAGCGTGAATTCCAAAAAGTGACCTCGAAAAATCGAAACCTTAAAAAACTAAAAAATGAAAAATCAAAAACCTGAAAAATCGAAAAACTAAAAAATTGAAGAACAGGAAAGTCGAAACCCTCGAAAGTCAAGAAATGGGAAAATCAAAACATCGATTAATTGAAAAATCGAAAAATTTGACAGTTTATAAATGTCAAATTTGAAAAATTGAAAAATCGAAAATTTGAAAAAACGACAATTGAAAAACAGAAAATCTAAAACCGGGAAGACGAAAAATCGATAGATTAAGAAATCAAAACATTTGAAAAATTCGAAAACTTGAAAAATTGAAATATCGAAGAACTGAAATGAAAAATCGCGAAATCGGAAAATCTACAATTTTAAATATTGAAAAATTAAAATATCAAAAAACTGAAAAATCTAAAGTTTAAAAATCGAAAAATTGAAAAAACGACAATTGAAAAACAGAAAATCTAAAACCGGGAATTCGAAAAATCGAAAGATTAAGAAATCGAAATATCTGAAAAATTGAAATATGGAACAAATGAAATGAAAAATCTAGAAACCGAAAAATCAAAAATTTTAAATATTGAAAAATTAAAATACCAAAAAACTGAGAAATCTAAAATTTAAAAATCGAAAAAGTAAAAAGTCGACACATCGAAAAATTCAGAAGTCAAAATTGGAAAAGTCGAAGAACAGAAATATTGAAAAATCCCAAAACTGAAATATCGAAAAACTGAAAAATGAAAGAAAAACTGACGAATCGAAAAATTGAAAAATCCCAAAACTGAGAATCTAAAGAATCGAAAAATTGAGAATCAAAAAAGTGAAGTCGAAATATCGAAATCTTAAAAGAATCGAAAAATTGAAAAATCAAAAACCGGCAAAATCGTAAGATCGAAAAATTGAATAACAAGTAAACTGAAAAATCCCAAAACTGAAATGTCCAAAAACTGAGAAATTAAAAAATTGAAAGATTGAGAAATCGAAAAATCAAAAAAGTGAAGTTGCAAAATCGAAACCTGAAAAAATAGAAAAATTGAAAAACCAAAAAACCTGAAAAATCAATTAATTGAAAAATCGACAAATAAAGAGTTTATGGAAGTTAACAATTGAAAAATCGTAAAATTGAAGAGAAAAACTGAAAACCGAGAAATAGAAAAATTGAAAAAAATCCAAAAAATTGAATAATAAATAGGGGTAAACTGAAAAGTCCCTTTGTAATTCGTGTGATCTGAATTAAAGTGAAGGAAACAGTAAGCAGCTTGTAATACTCTGGTAAATCTAGTGTCAATTTGTCCAAAGTAAAACGCGTCGTTAAAAATATTATGATATTTTGCCAACAAAAGTCGAGGAGTCCTCAACCGTCATTTAATTTAAACTATGACGCTTCTCTATGTTCTCTGGTTATGTTGAAACATCGGTCGAAAATAAGAAAATATTTAATGGGTCTTTCAGTTACTGTGGGTTTAACAAATTCTGTTCCCCATATGTTAAATCATGCTATCAATTTGTCTTAAGGGCTATTGGAATTCCAATGTAAAATAATTTGTTGTTTTCTTATCGTTTACGGGTTAACATGATACGACATGGAGAGTAGAACTTCCAATCACAGTGTAACAACTACTACAGACAGCTCTAATAACTACCTGCATGCACAATGCATTTTCTTTTATTAAACAATGAAAGTGTGGAAAAATCCTGACCTGTATGCTCTTGCAATTCATGATAACAAATTAACAATAACATAAATTTACATACAACGCAATTGTATGTAAAAACTACAAATTAATTTCACTTAACTATTAATTAAAGTAAGAAGTATTTAGTAAAATCTCATGATTAGAGAGCAAAGCAGAGAAATATGCACTGATAAACAAATAATTTAACATTAAAGTACACCAATTTTACTAAATGGGCTAACAAAACTCACAACAAAGGTACACTTTCTCAGTTTTAACAAATAAAATATACGAGAGAAAAGTTGGTTGCATAGTCTAGATACCTTAACACACCTTAATTAGACATTTATAGTTTAAATATTCACTCACCTTGTATGTATCACTAAAATTAAAATGAATAAACTACAGCCATTCTTGCAAATATTTATTGATTTTACCAGAGGAAATTTAAAAAAACCCTAATAAATTTATATAACAAATAATAGAAAATTGCAACAATTAAATAATGGGCTACCATAAAAGTGAATACTTTTACATATGTTTTTGTGCTGGCGACAGGCGGTTCCTTTGTAATGTAAAGCTTGAATCCTAGAGCACAGTTGTAAAAATACTTTTCCCAATGTAAGTCTTCCATTGAGAAATTGAACAACGTTTTGTCGTCATCGCTCATCTCCGTCCACAAATCTTGTACGTTATCTTCATCAAAATCAAAATTGTGAGTAGTAAAATATGATATAAGCATGAGAACTTTATCGATTTTTGCGTAGGTTTTCACAGCACTAAAATTACACGTAAGATTGGGGTTTAAGGAGGTAATTTTAGAATAATTTACATGGTTGGCTTTCCTATACAGTACAAAACAGCATCAATAAGGTACGCTGGAATTGTGTGCAACAAAAAAGTGTATATCTGGTGATATAGTTTGCCGTGGTTTTTGGCGACTCTGTACCAAATTAATTTCTGAGAGGGCACTTTCCAGTACAACGAATTCATGCAGGAAGAAAACTGCCCTGAAATAAAATTGTTTATAGCTACCAAGTTTAAGTATCAACTATATATACCCCAGTTGAGCTGTCTTCTTTTAAACCCAATGTAATTAAAAACTTTAGTAACCGATTTTTTTTCTATTGAGGTTTTCCACGTAGCAGCTAAAATACAGTTACAAACGTAATCCACTGGTACGACATGTGCTAACACGTTATTGTCGCTGTAGATAGTTCTGATTATACCAAGAGCTGCACCTATCACCAAGCCAATAGGCCCATAGATGTTGTCAATCCACCCTACTTCTGGTTCTTTAACTGAATTCATCACTATAACATCATTTAAAATTTGGTTAGTGTTTTAATACGGGAACGTCATTTACCAATTGATGGCCTAACTATAGTGGTTGGAAAATTTTTCGCTGCACCTTTCATTAAATGTTCAGAAATGCATTTGCTGTATACGTAAGTGTTCGCCCATTTCTTTCGTAATAATCTTCAAAAAAAAAAATTGAATTTATAAATAGAAGCGAAAAATGGATTCAAAACAAAATTAGACTTCTTAATGTAACGTACGTAACCTTTAAATCAAGGACTAACAAGCACTTACGCGGGTGTTAAATTTGTCAAAACACTCTCATCTAGACCATTCACCATACTGAACAAAAGTTCGGGCTGTATGGGCGGATCGTATATTTCTTCCTTAATGTGAGAATATATACAATTGGAATAAGCTGTCGATACAAGAACGAAACACTAGAAACTGAAAAGTTACATTTTTCGAAAATATATGTAAAAGCACGTTACCTTTAAATTAACTATGTCCTTACTCAATTCCAGAAGATCTGCAGTAGATTTAACATTGTTAGCAGCCTTTTTCAGACTCTGATCAAACCTTACATTCGCTGCAAGATGGATAACAAAATTAACTTCATTCTTCAAAATTTTCAAATTATCGTCGCTTATTCCTAAGAAAGGTTCCTCACAGTCCCCTTCAATTAGCGAAACTTTTTCCTTCCAGTTGCTAGTTTTGGATTTTAACAACTCAAAACACTGAATGGAATATACAAAATTTAAACAAAACTGTGAATACTCACAGGCTGCTCAAAAATTTCTTCAAAGCGTTGCTCACTGTTCTTCCCTTTTTTGGGTCGTAGCAGCATGTAGATCCTCTTAATATCTTCACAGTCTGTTAGTAGTTTTGCGATCATGACTTTGCCCAGAAACCCCGTTGCCCCAGTCAAGAAAATCGTTTGGTTTTTGAAAACAAGTTTGATTTGGCTGTTCTCGTGTGTCATGGTTGCGTCCTACTAAAGAGAGCGATGTGTTCTTAAAGTGTACGAAATTCTCTTTTTAAAAAACGGATATGGTGAATAATTTATGATTGAATATAAAGGAACCTTTTGTCGTTTTTTCTTAATTATAACTCGTTTATTTTCATACAATGTAACGTTTTGCAACGATAAATTATGTCGAGTTATACAGACTAGACTGTACAAATCTAATTCCCGTGTACTTAAAAGCGTCGTCATGATTGCTTGATATATTTAAGGCGAAAGAATAATGCGGAAATAGTTACACAGCAGGTTTTGCTGACGTATTTCAGTCGAAAAATTCAAAGTCATTCTCATTATGTTGTATATATTCCAAGTTAAAATATGTGTATACTTCTCATTAAAACGATGCTGACATTAGTAAGATTTTCTAAACTTACTGCATTTTTGAAGAATTGTTCAGCTGGTTATTCAGCTGAAAATCTTTAGTATTTCCGAAGAAGCATTTAATACATTTTTTGAGCACGGCTACCTCCTCATGAAAGTGTGTGGTTTTTCTTATTTGCTAAAAAAGTTCGTTATAAAAATTTGGTTTTAGGAAGTTGCAAAATTTTTAAGTGCCACTTCACCTACTCTCCCAAATTATGTTTGAGATGCTTCTGTTGGAAATAGTATTAAGCATTGGCGATGCATTTCGGCACACAGTCAATTTTCATAATAACCTAAAATGTTTCATTTAATTTAAAATTACACAACAAAATTATGAATACCACTAAACGAACCTTTTTTATATCGTCAAAATGATCGCAATAATATATTACCGCTTCAGTCCATGAACCCCGTCTTGTCAGAACAGGTTCTGGAGGCAATGAGCAATCCAGAATTTGAACTTTACCGAAAGCTTGGATCCTCAAATGAGCTTTAAGAAATACTTTCTTTACGCTACTAAACTTAAGGTGTGGGCCAAACATATTGTTACATGGATTAAGTTGGGATAAAATATTTCCAGATGTTTGTCACATTTAGTCATGTATGCAGCGCCATCCGTTAGTAGCAGTTTTAGTTTTTCTTATTTGATTTCCGTTGGCCATAATATACCTGTATTATTATATTTGAAATAAAATTATCATTTCAGAAATTGGGTCACAGACCAAATTTAAGTTCAGTTTACATCAGATTAGGTAACCTTACCACATAGCAATATTACAAATTTGCTTTAATTGTGGAACAATATTAATGCAACTTTTTTTAATAAGTAATAGAATTATCTAACACTCTAACACACTAACACACTAATACTCATTGATAAAACGTTCCATTGTTATATTATTGGTTTTTTCCAATATTTCCGAAAGAAGTAACTGTGGTCTACCAGATAATTTTCCCACTACAATGTTTGCAACGTATTGCGCATTAGAATTTGTGGTTTCATCTACAGCTATGCAAGTATCTGAATCCCAATACCTATTCTAATTCTATTAATCACCTACACAAGTACAATGTAAAATAACTAAATAAATAAAATAGATGTTTTTTATGATGCGAATTTATGGAATTAATTTCACAACTAGTTTTCACATCTGAATTGTGCAACATTCATAATTTATACTTACAATTTTTTCACAGATTTCACAAAACAATTCACCGTTTTCCATTTGAAAAACGTCTTTGTTTTTCGTTTATTCTTTTAACTTGTTTTTAAAGACGGTTTGACCTTGGGTATTTTAAAAATGGCAGAAAACACTATTAAACAATTTTTAAAACACTATTATACCTTTAAAGTTCACTTTACAAAAACCGAACACGAACTAATTGATATAGGAAGAGAACTCGAAAAGAGAGTTGTAGAAGGGCTTGGTGTATTTAACATATTTTCCTGGAAAAGCAAGGGACTGCTTGGGGTTGGATTAACTTTCTATATAGTCCCGAAAATATTGAATAAATAAATGATTTATTGTCAAATAGACAGACACATATCCAGTGATAGGACACAAAAATTAACCTAATCTACACAGTTGTTAAGACTGGGAAGAAAATTAAAGATTATACATATAACAGTATACCTATGCATAAATAACAAAAATTGGTCTAAAGAGTTTAGACAGTACTTCCCTCGCTGTCGGAAACTTGACGACTGCATGCCTATTGTGTTTTTTTTCTTATTACATTTTTGTAGTGGGAATTTAAAAAAAAATGCGATGACGTCATCAACATTTTTGCAAGGACACGTATATCAGTTGGGATAGATGTAGTGTAATACTAAGAATAAAATTATTATATTCTCAAATTTTCGGGAAAATGAATTGGGTCGTTTTGAATATTGATTTGTAATAATCAATAAAATAACGAAACAATTTACTCACGTATACGTATCAGAGGCAACTGAAAATCGTGTACGTATAAACATTCTTAATTTAAGATGACAGGCGTAACAGCATACGTGAGAGTCAAACAGAGAAACTGTAAACAAAACGACCATCGGTTTTATTGCTTCGACTTCGGCTTATTATATAAAACATTGGGTTTTATTTTAATTCTTGACGGTGAAATTCACAATTGGTTGATTATAAACATGTCTATTTCACATTCGCGGAACCAAGTGAGCGCATAAAACAAATGCAGGTCTGTAATGTTAAAGTCGATGTAAATAAGCGCGCTACCCTTATGTTTCAACCGAGTTTTTCCTTTAACAAATTTTGTGTCTACCAAATTGGGTTGGTTGGGGTGTAATACTAATAATAAGTGTTGCCTTTAATTCAATCAATAAAATAAATTGACTTCATTAATTTTTTTGAACCACCTCTTAAGAAAATCTAAAAAATATGAATGGAATGATAAATCACAAGTACAAACTCATCATATTTTTTGCATTTTAGATAGGATTTATTCAGCAAAATTTAAGGGTTACGTCATCAATTTTTTTAGGAGGGATGAACAAATACATTTTGAACAAAAGTTTACCATGCTTATAATAACTTTAAAATAGTCCCAAGGTTTCAAAGCATTCGGTTTTGTAATTCCTGATTAAATCGATAAAATAAATTCACGCTTTCATTAATTTTTTTGAGTCACCCTGCATATGCAAATCCAAAAATATGAATGGAATGATAAATCACAAGTACAGACGCATCATATTTTGTACATTTTAGATACGATTTATCCGGCAAACTTTTAAGCTGACGTCATCAGTTTTTTGTAGAAGATAACCAAATATATTTTGTAGTTCCTGATTAAATCAATAAAATATATTTACGCATTCATTAATTTTTTTGAGTCACTCTGTATATGCAAATCCAAAAAATATGAATGGAGTGATAAATGACAAGTACAGGCTCATCATATTTTGTACATTTTAGATATGATTTATTCGGCAAACTTTCGAGCTGACGTCATCAAGTTTTTGGAGGGGATAAGCAAATATATTTTGACTAAACATTTATTATGCTCTTTATAACCTTAAAACATCTGCAAGATGTCAGAGCATTCCGTTTTGTAGTTCCTGACTAAATCAATAAAATATATTTACGCATTCATTAATTTTTTTGAGTCACTCTGTATGTGCAAATCCAAAAAATATGAATGGAGTGATAAATGACAAGTACAGGCTCATCATATTTTGTACATTTTAGATATGATTTATTCGGCAAACTTTCGAGCTGACGTCATCAAGTTTTTGGAGGGGATAAGCAAATATATTTTGACTAAACATTATGCTCTTTATAACCTTAAAACATCTGCAAGATGTCAGAGCATTCCGTTTTGTAGTTCCTGATTAAATCAATAAAATATATTTACGCATTCATTAATTTTTTTGAGTCACCCTGTATATGCAAATCCAAAAAATACGAATGGAGTGATAGATCACAAGTACAGACTCACCATATTTTGTACATTTTAGATATGATTTATTCCACAAACTTTTGAGCTGACGTCATCAAGTTTTTGGAGGGGATAAGCAAATATTTTTTGACTAAAGATTTATGATGCTCTTTATAGCCTTAAAATATCTGCAACATTTCAAAGCATTCTGGTTAGCAGATTAAAAATTAAATTTCAAAATGTTGTTTTATAATTTTGATTTTTTTTCCAAAAATCTGGACGTTTCGGGTGTAAAGTCGATTCAGAGTTGTAAACTACATGTGTAGGACTATGTTATTTTATACAATTGAAAACCCATTTACTATGTACAATTTTGAAGTGACGTCATCGCATTAGTGGTGGGGATGATTAGACAAATTTTGGTTAGCGTTTTACCATCTACATGATATTCTTAATATAAGTACAAAATTTCACAACAATCGGTCGAGTACTTTCGGAGATTATCTGTCTAATAAAAATCCGGGACGGCAGACGGACAGACGGACAGACGGACGGACAGACGGACGGACAGACGGACAGACAGACGGAAATGGGAGACCTATTTCTTCGTCATCTAGGGGTCATGAAAGATCGAGAAAACGTAAAAGTAGAGAGTCGGCCGACGGACTCGATTACAATACTTCCTTTGCTTACGCTCGGGAAGTAAAAATTAGCAAAACCATTTACAATAAATAGTTTCTGGGGTTTTATAAACATTGATCCATTCAGTACTTTAATATATGTAGAACAAAAGCAGAAAGTAGAAGGGTGAGGTGAAAAAAAACTTGTGACTTTCGACACTTTACCAACTCCAAGCTCTAGGTCATACATGTCAAGAAGCGCCCAAAATTACATTTTTTTTTTTACATATAGGCTAAAAGGAGCATCCTGACCAGATGGCGCACTTGTAAGTACGTACAATGTAAAATATATTTACAGCGGATGAATAACGGGAAAAGTGGCCTCTCAAGAACATGCGTAACTTGAAGTGTTTATGTTTATATATCGAACGAATGCCATGTAGAAATTTGTTTGATTTGAATGAGTGAATGAGGTCGCCTCAAAACAAAGGACTAAAACTATTAATAAGCCTCAATCGATCAAAATTTTCGGAATATTATAACAATGCGGATTAAACAACAAACAAATATAGCAATAATAAACAAAAACTAGATAAGATTAAACCACAAGTATAGGTGTGTATTATT